AAAACCACTACAGCCACACAGGTTTTATTTTTAAACTGTTTTTTTTTTGTTTGTTTGTTTGGTTGGTTTTTTTTTTTTGGTGGCATACTTTCATTAATGTACATGCTAGTGCTGTGAATCCCTAACAGGGTTAAATAATTTTAAAAGTCTATTCCTGATTTAAGATAATTTCACTGAAAAATGCTACAGTGAACTTGGTGACCGAGATGATAGATAAATGTAACACAGATATAAAAAAATTAAAGAACATGTAGGAACCCTCCTGAGATAACACCTTGGTCATGTGTTGAAATACTGACTGCACCATTTATTATAATTAAGGCTTAATTTCAACACTCATGTTTGTTGGTGTTGTCTTTTTTAAGTGTTGTTATACAAACAAAAAAAAACCCCAAACAAACTGCTGGATCCTGCATCTGGGATGGGGCAGCACAGGATGTATGGACAGGTTGGTGAATGAGATGCTGGAAGCATTGCCATGGAAAGGGACCTGAGAGTCCTGGTCAATGGAAAGTGGAATGTGAGTCAGCAGTGCCCTGGCAGCCAGGAGGGCCAAGAGTGTCCTGGGTACATCAGGCACAGCATCACCAGCTGGGCAAGGGAGGGGATTGTCCTGCTCTGCTCTGCTCTGCTCTGCTCTGCGGAGGCCTCACTTCTAGGGCTGGGGGCAGTTTTGGGTGCCACAGTGTAAGAAAGGTACAAAGCTATTAGAGAGCATCCAAAGGAGAGCAACAAAGACGGTAAAAGTCCGTGAGGGGAAGCTGTATGAGGAGCAGCCAAGGTCACTTGGTCTGTCCAACCTTGAGGAGACTGATGGGAGAGCTCATTGCAGCTAAAATCTCCTCATGAACAGAAGAGGAGGGGCAGAGACTGATCTCTTCTCTGTGGTGATCAACAGTGACCAATGACAGGACCTGAGTGACTGGCTTGGAATTGTGTCAGGGAAGGTTTCTGTTAGATATTGGGAAAAGGTTCTTCCCCCACGGGGTGGCTGGGCACTAGAACACGTTCTCCAGGGAAGTCCCAGGCCTGACAGTTCAAGAAGTGTTTGGACAATGCTCTCAGGCCCAAGTGTGATTCTTGGGGTGTCCTGTGCAAGGCCAGGAGTTAAACTCGATGATCCTGATGTGTTCTGTCCAACTCAGCATATTCTGTGATTCTGTAAACAGTGTTAAGCTAACAGAGAAAGATAATCTGTGTAAAAATCCATCCATTTTCATCAGGGATACTCTCTAGAAATAGCATGATTCAAGGTTTAAATAGAGTTCTTGAGTGATAACCCTAGCTCTACCACTAACGCTCCACCCAAGGCAAATTATTTTACATCTATAAAATGGAAATGATAGCTACTAACCTGCTTTACAGGAGATTTGCAAAGATAAATTACTTAATGTGTGTGCAATATTTTCAACATGCAAAGTGCCATAAAGCTCCATGAATTTTTATCTCAGACCTTGCTTTAAAACTTGAGTGAGCAGTCATAGAATACAAACTACAATGCAAAATACAATGTTGACAATCTCAAACACCATGCAAAATCTGAGCAAACCAAATTGTAAAACTCCGCTAATTCATCTCTATTTCATTTCTTCTCTTCCAGTAAAAGGCCTGCCCTTTAAAACTACTTTCACAACTCACAGAGAAGAACAGCATCACCATTGAGGAATGGTTGCTGATAAATTTTTTGGAGGGGCAAATGCTGACCCACTCTTGGTGGATAATGAAAAGCAGCACTTTTTTTCTTTTTCATGTAAGGAAAGGATCCAGCAGCAGGGATTTTTTTACTCTTGAGAGGATTTTGAAACTCTGTGTTTGGAGGGAATGTGGAAGAGATAGGAGAATTAATCCTGCTTTTTCCATTGATAGGGAAATCAGTTATTCATCCTCCTACAGCTACTTCTCTCCATGTCTGGTAAAGTAACGAGCTCAGTGGTGCAGGTAAGTGGTGGTGAGTCAAATATTGCAATCCAAAAGTATGTTCATGTGGAAGAACTACCAGATTACATGATCTTTACTTCATAGGTCAGCATGTTTATCCTTAATATATAGAAGACAAAATTATCTATCTATCTATCTATCTATCTATCTATCTATCTATTATAAAGCAAGCAAATAAAAAGAAAGCTGAAGACAGATGTTGCCTTTAGTACTTTCATTACAAACAATCAATTTAAAATTGATGATCAAAAGGTCGACCTTTGTTCCATGACCTTTGATCCATGCACACATGCAGGCAGTAATAAGTAATAAAATTTTGCAACATGAATATTGCATGCCTTTGGTAAAAGTCATGTTCCCTCCAAAGGAGTCATACCAAAGCAACACTGGGTATGTGACCAGCTGTTTAGGGAATATGTGGTGTTTGAATTCAATCCATTTCAGAAATTGCTCAGTTGGGTAAAAAAGACCTGAAATTCCTGCCTGTGGTAAGCTTCTCAAACTTCAGTCTTAGAGTTCCTTTACATGTCTCATGACCTTGGCAAGCAGAGCACAATGCCACAAAAGTAACATATTTGTGCTCACAAAGGTGGGAGGACAGAATTTACAGCAGCTTGCTGTGCAGCCCCTTCAGCAGTACTGCACTGCCAGCAGCAGATGAGAGTCTCCATAGTGGGTAGCTGCAGTGTGGGAAAAAAATTTAAAGGGGGATTTGCCTAGTCTCTCCTTGCTCACCGTGTCAGCAATGAAGCAGGTGTTTAGTTAGGATCGAATACTTGAATTTATGCGCGTTTATATCAGGGCAGTACATGATTGGGGGGGGGTGAGGTGTGAAACAAGTATGAAATGTTCCTGCTCAGTATATCAGGTAGAATTACAAAAATTTTGCAAAGCAAGTATTTGTTCTTCAGCATGTTAGGACAGGATTTTGACCAGTTTCTCCACTAAATTCACATGCAAAAATGTTTTCTTTTTTTCCCCTATATTTAGTTTGGTTTTCATTTGTTACTTTGAATCCTTTCTTTTTCTAGATTTTAAAAATCCTATTACCTTCTATATTGGCAGCTTGATACCCAGTGTGCATGTCTAGGGACACATTTTTATTTATTATTTACCTACAGAACTGATTTGAAGTTCATTTCTTGGTTGTCTTAATTGCATTTCCTTTATCATAGTGCAAACTGTAATCATTAGTGTGTTTTGAGGATGCTTTGCAAATCTTCCCTCCCTAGAAACTGATCTCTTTTTTCTAGGTCTCTCTCGCTTTTAAAGATCCTCCTATTTGTCTAAATAAATGAAAATGAACCATATACATATAGTCTTTATGAAGTTGCACTGTGTGAGAATCTTTGAAGCAAATTTGTACTAATATTTTATTGTAAGCTAAGGTTCTGCCCTCAGCTACAGCCACGAAACCAATCACATGAACAGAGTTCCTCGGATGTTGGTAATGTCTGAGTTTACTTCAAAGTACACCTTTCACATTATTTATAAAATATAATTGAACCAGAATGTCAGCTACAGCATATGAAAGCTGTCTTGTAATGCAACTCATCCCAATAAATGATTAAAGGCATGTGGCCAGGTATCGGGCTTTGTGCTAGGATGTGTAAATGGGATGGTAGTTTTCTTTGCCTAGTTAGGAGTGCGGCTAGTTGATCTATTAGGAAAAAAAGATTTTACAGAGGAATTTGACTGGTAGGAGAAGGGTGATGGATCTCTCAGGGAAACATGCATAACAGAGAAAAGTCAAGGTACACTCAGTGACTGTTTTGCAATCTATTGTGCTCCAGTACCCTGTGATAGACGCAGACGTTTAGCATGGAATTTCCCAAGCCTCATGTCATTATTTGCTTTAGTTCTGGAGTTCCCACTTAATCACAGCAGTTTTAAGTCTTCATATCCTATTGACTGTGTAACCTAAGCCCTCAGAAGAGCTTTATGAAGAAATTACCACCAGCGTTCAGCAGGTTTGAGTGTAGAATCCTGATTTACCCGGAGAAACCCCAGCCCAGACAAGTGGCACGTACGTGTCCTATTTACATATCTGAGTGACAAGACAGTGCTTCCTCCCACTTTCCAGAGAAACAGCCTGTTAAAAACCCCATAGGAATATTTTAATGAATCCTGAATACCTTGGGTTTTTCTCTTGAGGGAAAGGAGCACCATACCGGTACTCTTTTGCTTAATGTCTGTGGATGTACTTGGAGCACCTCAGGAGTACTTGTGTTATTTTGTTTGTATTAAGTAACTTGCTACACGGAGCAAGGGAACTTTCTCAGGGCTGGCAGAGGAACTTTCTCAGGGCTGGCAGCAGGGGAATAGAAGCGATACGGGCAGACATGCACTCTGTTATCCGCGCGCTAAATACGCATTAAAACCGCGCTGCTTCATTCCACGCAAACACTTGGCCTTACAAGTATTGGGAGTAAAATGACCAGTACGAGAGCAGGACTATTCGCAGAGGCCGAGTGGGCTGCGCTGATTTTGGGGGGCAGAAAAGAGGCCGTAGCCCCGGCGATGCTCCCCTGGGGAATGGATCGAACCTCCGGAGCGGCTTCACTGCTCTCCAGTAAAACGCCTCAGCTCTCCCTTGCGCTGGCGCTGCGACGGGACAGCTCTCCCTGAGGAACGGGACGGGACAGCGCTTCTGCTGCAACGCTCCCGGGACACCCGCAGTGCCGTAGCCTTCTGCCCCCCACCACTCCCGGGCGGGAGCACACGGGAAGGCAGAAGCTGGGTTAGGCCACGCCGCTTTTTTGCCAGCAGTGCCGCAAATGCTTTTGGCAGCTGCCGGGCAGAAACTGCCAGGAAGTAGAAAAGCCACGCATACACACCCTCCGGAGCAAGGAGGAACGACTATACTATCTCGTCCCCTCTCCCACCTCCTCTCATCCTATATTCCGGGACAGGTGGGGTGTCCGCCCCTTCTCCACCTCGGCGGGGACGGCGCTGCCGGTTTCTCCTCCCCTCTCCTCCTTGCTCCCTCCCAATCCTCCTCCTCCTTGGCGTCCCCAGAGGGAGCCCCTGCGCTCCGCGACCGAGTGGAGAGCGCAGCCGGGCGCACCCCGTCCCACAGCCGGCTCCAGCCGCTCCGCAAGCCCTTGTGCACCCGCCGCCGCCTGCAGCAGGAGGAGCAGAGGTGGGACGAGGAGGAGGAGGAAGGCAGCAGCCCGCCCGCAGCGGGGCACGCACGTGTGCGCGCAGACCTCGACGGCCGCCCTCCAGCATGCTGCTCGGAGCCGCGCAGGGCAGAGCGCCGGAGAGGAGCTGATCGCTGCCGCGGGAGAAGAGCAGAGGGGAGCAAGAGCGGCTCCGCGGAATCATCCGTGCTCCCCTCCCGTCCGACCCCCACGCACTCCGCCGAGGGAGCGGCGGTCCCGCAGCATGGGCGGCCGCAGCCCCCTCGCTGCCGCCGGGCCCCGCGGCGCCGCTGTCCTGGTGCTGCTGCTGTGGCGCCTCGCTCTCTGCCTCGCCGTGGAGGGAAAGAAAGGTAGGGGGCGGGGGAGCGAGGGGGCGAGGGCGCGGGGGTCCCGCCGTCCTTTGCCGGCTGCGTACTGGGTGACCAGGGAGCCGGGGCTGCGGGCGGCTGCGTGCCGCGGCCTCCCGTGGGGAGAGGCGGAGGGAAAGTCCCAACTACTTATTTCCCTAAGAAGAAAAAACAAATCAAAACAAAAAACTCACCCCAAAAACAGAGAGAGGGGAGAAATGGGGAGAAAACCAAACCTATAGCAGCGATCACGCAGCCCTGACTTCCTGATTCTTGGCTTATTTTCTTTTGTGGGGGTGGAGGAAATAAAAGGGAATAAGCCTTGGCACATCTCATCTGTTGTGCTTCTCTTCTTTAGTGTTTCTTTTTTCTCCTTTCCCCCTTCCCACGTTTCCCAGTCGCTCCCCGGAGAGCATTCCCGGGCTCAGCCCAGCACAGCCGCTCTCGGCTCCCCTGCACCGGGCGGCGGGGAAAAGCCGCGGGGTTCCCGAGTAAGCGCCGCTCCGGTAACCCGCTGTCGCTCTGACCCGGACACCTCCGCTTGTCCTGTTCAGAGATAGTCTTAGTAATAATAGAAAGAAGTATTCACCTGGTGAGGGGGTGACTGAAAAAAAAAAAAAGGGGGAACTTCTTGTGTGTTCTGGTTCCCCAGTTATCAGAAGGAGGAGTGATTTATCCCTGCCCGACCCGGCGCGAAGGAGCCGCCGTCCCGTCCCGTCCTTTCCCGTCCCGTCCCGTCCCGTCCCCAGCCTGCCGGCGCTGCCGGCCTCGGCGCTGCCCGCCCGTCCCGGCGGTGCGTGGGAACAGCACGGCGGGGCTGGCTGTGGGGCTGGGGCGTGGGGCTGCCACGGGTGCTTGGGTTTTCCTTCTTTATTGGAGAAGCTGTTTCAGAGAGTGAGAAGACGTTTCTGGCCGGTCGGACCCGTCACATTTTCTCTGTGTGTGGTGTTCTCTTTTGTGAGTTTGGAGAGCAGGCCCCGGTTGCTGTTCCAGCCGGAGAGCAGTCCTCTTTATCTTGGAAATCTGCCAGCCAGAGGAAAAAAATGCAGATTTGGGTGGTTTGGTTTTTCTTCTTTTTCCTTTCATTCTTTTTAAAGAAAAAGCGGGAGAAGAGAACTATTACTTACTCGAAGGGCTGATTGCATGGCTCAGAGCAACTGAGTTAGTCTTTCGTGACTGTGGACTGTAAAGCCACCCTGAAAGTGAGGAACACCCCATCCAAAAGAACTAGTTGCACAACCTTTAAAAAGCGGAAAGATTCTCTTGTTCCAGAATTCAAGTTCATACCTGTTGTTGATGTAACATGGGCAGTTTTTCTTTCCTGGTTTTCTTTTTATTTATTTATTTATTTTTCCTCATCCTTTGAAGGTGATGAGAAGTAAAGTGCCTCTCATCTGCTCTGCCTGTCTTTAGAGATGCAGGCTCAGGTGCACATGCCCTGTATAATATGTTAAGAGTGAGGAGAAATACCTTGTTTGTAATGTTTAATTCTGTGTCTCATAAGCTTAGAAGGTTGCCAGTTTTTTGCGGATTACTAAATAATCAATGGCTACATGATAAATCCAGTAGAGGTTATTCTCAGAATGTTGTGTTAGCAGGTAACTGTTCCTCTGGTAGGAACTGGAGGCTCAGTGGCAGAGGTGGAGGCAAAAGGATTTCTTCAGAAAGCATTAATCAGTTGATTGGACTTCATTAGTTTCTCCCCACTCTTGAAGATAAGCAAGAAAATTACTCCGAGGCACAAAATGAAGCAGCATCTGAGAATTGTGCATTATTGATTTGACGCAACAGGTCCAGCAGCTAGTAGAAGATCAGTGTATGTTTGGGACTGTCTCCTTGGCCAAGTGATATGACCCAGCATCACAATTCAGAGAAATGCTGAAAGGAAACTTGCTGTCATAAATATATGCAATACTTCTGCAAGTTCAAATTGCATGTGAAATGGCACTTCTTAAAACTTCAACCTGATTTGTTCTATTACTAAATGGGGTGGTCTCAAAAAAAGAAAATGTGCCTGGACAGCTGTTAGAAGAACATCAGAATCAGCCTATAAAATCCAATCAACATAATGTTTGAATGGAAATTTAAATACAATTGTATCTTCTCCCAAAACTGTAGAATTAATTTTCTTGAAGATGGATGAGAGAAAACTGGTTTTGTTGTAACACTGTAATCATTAAGATACAAACAAAAGCCTAATTGAACATATTCCAGAACCAAACAGCATTGCTCAAAAGTGAAGTACTCTCATCACAGGGATCAATACCCACCTCTGTGTAGCTGCTCTGATGTTAACCCACATTAAGCACAGTAGAACTAATCCAGATTTCCACTAATCTACCCGGGAGGCCTGCTTGGTGGTACCTGAGATAAATACCTGTGATAGCTGGCATGCCACTTACGCTGGATGCATTTGACCCGTGTCCTTTTTGTGTGCCAGTGCTCGGTGACAGTGCTACGGTTCAGCAAATTGCTTTTTGTTGCTACACATTGGTTTTATATCTCTAGTTTTGATCTGTAGCTGCAGCCTTTGTGGGATGGGAGTGTGCTGGTCCGTGTCAGGAGTGAGCACGCAGGCGTACCAGGCGGCTCGGGAGCTGCCAGAGTGGACTGTGGTAGCCTTCTGTACCTGGAGTCTTACACAAAGCACTAAGTTCTTTAAGGGTATCCAAATATTCATGTCCATGTGAAGTAAAAAACTTTTGTCTAATATCCTGTCTAGTGTTTACATGTGGGCTGTGTGTGTATTTATATTGAGTATTGTCTTGCAGTTTCTGCACTGTGTATTATTCCATGCTTACTTGTGACAAACACCTACAGGTAGATGAGTCTTTGTGGATTGTGCAGAGCTTGATCCAGTTACGTGCAAGCATCCAGTGCTTTTTTAGATGCCCTCCAGTATAACCTGGCCGCTGCTCTGTGGAGCAAAGATCTGTCAGGAGCCTGTGAGTTGTGCCTGCTATGGGGGCCTCCCAGGAGCAGAGGGCTGCCCACACATCCACAGGGTGGCTGAGGAATCAGCAGTGTTCCCTGTCTACCTGGTACCTGGTAAAGGATGTCTTGTACTCCTGTTGAAGTCCTGGGAGAGCTGGAGCACTGTTCTCTCATTCCTGTATTTGTATTACCACTGACAGAAGTGGAATTTTCTATGTGGACAGGAGCTGGTAGTATGTTTGTGTAGGTATTTATTGTGTGAGGTGTTGTCTGTACAGCCACTTATTATTTTCTATATCCTTGGTAAATGACCAAATGTTTTTTGAATTTGCAAACTAAAATAAATCTGTGCAGTCTTGATGGTAAATACAGTTAGAGAAATGGAAACTTAGACACTGATATGGCCCTATTTGGTGGGATAATAGAAATAAATAAATACTGTTGAGTGTAGAGCTGCTTTTACTCCAGTGCCTCAGTGTGTGAATGCTTAAGAACAAAACCCAAACCCCATCATTAAGAGCAGCAAAAGGAAGGTAAAATGCTAGCAAGTCATCTCCTTAATTCAGGCAATCTGCAAAAAATAGTGACTATGTGCAAAATTTTACGAGGGAGATTGGCCTCTCGGCAAAGTGTGTGTGTATGGTGAGCAAACCAGATGCTGAAGTGCTACTAAATACAAATGTGTTATTTCTTGCATCAAGAGTATATTAAGAGATTTGCAGATAAATAGGAAATCAAGATCAATGCCCTGGAGACTTTACAATCAGAGTAGTCCGTTGTAATTTATTTGTTAATTTATAAAGAGAGACTTTTGGGGAGTGTCGCACAATGCCATTATGGTCCTCAGGGCTGACTTTTGCATTTAGGTATCCATGTATCACTGAAATCTGGGATATGCTAGCTTTAGCAGCAAGATAGCTGACTAGCCAAACCAGTTCCTTCAGAAAGTGTCCTTATCTTCCTTGAGCACAAACTGCCTTTGCTTAATAGCCCTTCGGAAACAAGCCTAGTGGAAGGTTTACTTCATTTTTGGGAGGATGACAGTACCTTCATGGAATGGTTTTGCATAGAAACTATTGATATTGCTACAAACTTTTGCTCTAGTCCAGATTTCGGTAGTATGTGTGCATCTGAGAGTACAGTCACACCGTGTGTGTGAGTGGATTATCCCAGAAAGAACTGATACTCAAAATTAGTGTCAACATGTTATGTTATAAGCACCAGCATTCACAGGTATGAGAACTTGTGTCAAAACTCATGTTAGACTTGCATCTGTATTGCAAAAGGGTTTGTGTAACACAAATTTGCCTCGTAGAACTTTTATTTGAGGGAGCCAGAACAGGCTGTACTCACAAAAGCATCTTCTGGCTGTTCTATATTAGGAACACTTTCTGGGGTGACCTGGCTGACAAACCTTTATAAATCTAGACTAGTCAAATTCTGTAAAAAGATTACTTGCTGGCTAGAATAATTGCCATTTTTGAATTGTGTGAATTGCATAAGGCATCTTCTAATTGTGTTTATAATTTCTCAAAGCCCCGTTCTGCTGTACACATCTACTAGTGGAAAATGAAATTCTGTCAGTCAGGGCTCATCTGGCACAAGAATCTCATTCAACTTGGCTGAGAAATGACTAGCTTTATCAAAAAGAGAAAGTTATTAGGAAATGCAGCAGAGCTGTTATGTGCTTCTCAGTGGCAGGATCGTTCTCACTCTTTGACTCCTGCGTTTGGTTTGTGGCAGCTGTGGGAGGTGTGTAGCCTGCGATGAGAACTCGAGCAGCAGTTTCTGCGGTGACAGGGATAGTTTCCTGTCTCGCACTCGCCTTGAGATTAGCTTGAGCAACACATCTTGCTCTAAGTGTAGAACTTGCCTCTCTGGGTGCTGAGCAGTGCTTCACCCAGCGCCTGTGATAGGGACCATGGCTGGGAGGTGTGTGATGCTGAGCTCTATGGCAGAGGAACAGGGATAATAATGAGGGGCCCTCACCGCTGGGATCACCCTTTAAACAAAGCTTCTGCAATGCCACACACCTCTGGTGATGAGGATGGTACAAGAACTGAGTTGGA